TGAAGCAGCAACCCAGCAAGCATCCCTGAGACACCAAAATGGCCAGCACCATGTTACACAGACACCAGACGCCTGGCTGAGGAAGTCTGTGGGCAAAAGGCTGGCAACAGGACAGGAGTCTTACAGGAACGTCTCCAGGGGCTTCCGGCAAGCTTTACACACGGCCGACTGTCCGGGCCCCTGCCCCCCTGCCCTCCCTGCCTCCCTGCCCAGGGAAAACCCGTCACAATTGTATGCCAGGCACCGTGGCTCTGTCTTGATAAGGGCTGTTTTGATGGCCGTGTCAGTAATCCAGAGCCAACGGCTCCTCGGAGCTGTGTACACAGGAGAGGGAAGCTGCAGTCCCTGCGGAGCCGCTGTTCACTCCCTCTGGCTCCAGTTGGGCAAAAATGTTTTCTTTTCCATTGCGTAAGATGCTTCCAACGGTGACAAACTAACACCAGCGGCAGGAGGAGATAAAAGCCCTGTGGGTGTGAGTGAGGAGCAGAGAGTGGCTGCGTGTCTGTGAAGGACACAGGGATGGGCAAGTGTGAGCCACAGGACCAGCCGCCCACACGTGACCCTTCCAACAAGCGATGGAAAGAAAAGCAAGCGCTGACCAAAAGCAGAGCCAGCGTGCAGGGCCCTCTCTGCACACATGATCTGGGTGGCGCTGCTTCGAGGGGGACTCGGGGCTGCAGTGAGGGGCCGAGGAGGAGAGAGAGGAGGAGAGGAGAGAGATTTTGTTAGCGTGGAGGCGCTGTGTGGGTGAGAGGCTGGGCATTCAGGTCTGGCCATCAGAATAAGCCTGGGCCTAAGCATCCGAAACACAGGCAGGAGGCCCAGCTCTCCCTAAAGCTGGGAGAAATGGCCTGACCTCAGCCCCTCCCTCCTCTCCTGGCACGTGGGGACAGCAACTGTCCTGAGCTCAGATGCAAGCTGCCTGAGGTCCCCCCAAGAGGTCAAACATGAGTGGGCTCCAAAAAGGTTCAGAACCGCCTGTGCAGGCTGGGGAGGTGGGGAGTTGACATAGGCAGCTTTGTAAATATCACCTCTAGCCCAGTAATTCCACCCGTGTGGAGTTATCTATACTAATAAAAGGGTAATATGCTAATTAGACTGGATGTCTTCCAGACCTCCTTCCTGACAAAGCTGGGGGCTTGGCCGGCCTGCAAAGTGCCGGCGGCCCCTCGTGCAGGCCGGTCCCCACCCTGATTGGGGACCCCCTTCAAGGCAAGCGAGCCAGCCCCCACCCGTGCACCAGGCCTCTATCCTACATAATAAAAGGGTAATATGCAAATTGACCCTAACGGCAGAATGACCAGAATCACTGCTGGACCAGTCACTATGACATGCTCTGACCTCCTGTTGGTTTCTTTCCCCGGCCGGGAGGCTCCAATCGCCTGATGACCTCCTGCTGCAGGGGTGAGGAAGGAACAGCCAACCTCTCAGTCCCTTTCTCCTGCCACCAGGCACAGATCACTTGATGGCGAACTGGGAATTGGGGTGGTGGGGCGGGGGCGGGGGGGCCCAGCGGCTGCAGGCAACTGGGGAAGATGGCCCTGATCACAGGCCAGGCCTAGGGACTGCACCCACACACGGATTTCATGTACCGGGCCTCTAGTCCTATATAATAAAAGGATAATATGCAAATTGTCCCCTCGACTGGGAGTCCAGCCAGGAGTTCAGCCAGGGGGTGGGGCTGGCCGGCCACCTGCCCACACCCCTCCCCCCCGCCAGCCCCACTCCCAATTGCACTCCCACCCAGATCAGGGGTGGCCCCACCCATGCACTAATTTGTGTACTGGGCCTCTAGTAAGGAAATAATCCTAACTAGAAAATACAATCTTTACACATGTGGATATTCATCACGGTATAATTTATGATCATAGAAAAAAAAAGTAGAACTATCTAGGGAGCCAAGAACAGGGGAATGATAAAAACGAACTCAGTGAAACCATTCAAAAAATGCTCAGACTCTGATTACACAGAAACTGGTGATGAGCAACATGAACTGAAAATGTCACGAGGCACAGCTTTACTGCTGTCCTTTCATATTTTAGTTTAAATTACGGTTCAATTTTATTTGGTATGTTAAAAACACTCTGAATGCTTTAAATATAGAAAATACCTCCTACTTGGCCTAAATTATTCAAAAGCTACATGTTGGGAAAATATAAGATAATCAAGAATAGTGATGATGTTTATGTAGCAGTAAAGGAATAACGTTTTTTCTATTTTTAATGTCGTTTTCAGATTTTTCTCTTGTGAATGAGTGTTGCTTTTAGAACCACTTTAAAGGTAGTTTGAGTCAGAAGGGCAATGCTGATGCTGTGGGGGGTCGGGGAAGGGGAGGCTGGGACACAGAAGTAACCTGGGTTTCTGGGGCAGACGCCAGACGGGCCCTCCTAAGACATAACTCAGAGCGTTTCTGACTCAGCCTTCCTGGGTGGGACCAAGCCCTTAGGACCCACCAGTGCTCCATTCTCGCTTTCCAGGAGAAAAAGAACACTGTGAACCAAAATAGCACCAATTACACGGGAACAAATTCATCCACAAAGCCCAAAACAACAGCAACTTCTATGACTTAAAATAATGAGTACAAAAAAGGCAGCAATAAAGAGCTGCGACAAAATTGAGACTGCCCTCAGTGTGTGTGTGGGGGGGGAACGGGGGGGGAGAGCATCCCCGGGCACACTGCAGGAACTCCGAAAGCCGGCCCAGGAGGTCCCCACGCAGCCACATGCCAGCCAGATGGCTCAGCAGAACCCAGCCCGCGGCAGCTCCCGGCTGCTCATTTCATTTTATGAATGCCGGGTTTTAGTAAGTCCTAACAGCTCTCTTCTTAGGAAGCACACTTGGGGTGGCTGTAGAAATGAATCTCAGCCAGCACATTATCATTCATCTGGAGAACCCCAGGAAAGACTGGCATTTGGGTCTGCCCGCTGCCCACCTCACCCAGCTCCTTCCCTGCCGTCTGCAGTCCAGAGGCATGACCACACTTGAGGGACACCAAGGATCTGATCTATTGCATGCCAGCAAAGCTCTGGCCAGGCCTTGTCCCTGCAGACATCCCTCCCGGGCATGGCCAGGCGAGCCGGAGCCCAAGCCCGGCAGGACAGCCAGAGAGACAGAGGGTCAGCCGCCTGGGCCCCCTAACCCTTGTCACCCACACTTGACAATTCACTGCCTGGCCCTCCCTGACACAGTGAGGCAGAAATATCTTCTCACCCCAATAATCCACAAGGAGGATTATCTATTTCCCCTCCCTATGGTGCTTCAAAGCATAAGCTGGCCTGGAGTCTAGCACCCGGGAGGGAGGAAAGGAAGGTCAGGCCTCCTCCCAGGCTTCTGCTAATGCCTGTTAACTCTTCTGTCACAGCGTTTCCTTCCAAGCCAATCGCGCCTGTGGGACAACAGGGCTGGTCAGGCCATAAGGGCCCATCTAGTCGACACTTTTAAACTAGATTAAGCGTGGAACGCTTCAACCAAATAGAATCCTGCTCCACAGCCTGGTCTACACAGCAATCCGTGGGCTCCTAGGGGTGAAGGTGGCGGCAGGAGAGGTGGGGGAGGGTAGAACTGCTCTTCCCTTGGCTCCCCAAACTGCAGAACCCCCAAGGGGCTTTCTATGGCCTTGGCCTCTCCCAATCAAAGCAGCTCACTAGATCAGCCTCGTCATTCACAGGTGGGGAAACTGAGGTCTACAAAGGCAAACTGGCTCAGCGAAAGGCACACAGCACTGAGGGGCAGAACTGAACCAGCATCTGTCTGTCTTCCCCCCTAGAACCCAGGAGGGCAGGGGCACACCTTCCTCCAGCCTGAGCACCTGCACCAGGCGTGCCCAGAGAGAGGCAGGCCTGCAGCCCAGCTGAGGGGGTGGAACTAACTGCTACTTACAGAATCAGGGCTCCATGTCAGGAGGCTCTGCCACTGACATGGCTGTATGACCCTGGGCAGGCCACTCAAGTCCGCAGTTTCTCTCATCTGGGACCTGGAAGCGGGGGTGAGAGGACCAGCGCTGGCAGAGCCACGCCAGGTTTCTGTGAAGAAACATAAATGCTTGCTCTTCTCCCCGTGCCCTTGTGGTGAGCTCGTCTCCTCTGTCCTTGGGGCCCTACCCCAAAGCTCCTGAGCCCTCGCCTTGCAGCTAAGAGAACATCCAGGGGCCTCCTTGCTGCAGGAGCCTGCTTCGTGGAGACAAAGTCTCGATGTCTCTGTGGTGTGACAACTCGCCAACAAAGCCCAGCTTCAACCTCCAACTCCTCAATTCCTCGCTTACCAGGGCCCTACAAACCCCTTTCAGTATGGTCTGCTGGGCCAGAGCTGCAGGCCTCCACCAAGTGCCCTGGCTGTCCCTCAGGGCAATGACCCCAAAACTCCCCTCCTCACCCCTCAAAGGCTCAGGCCATGTGGTTCACCATGGCCAGATAGTGGGCAATCTTTAGGGCTCCAGAATCAACCAAGATTGATCAACCAGCTGGAGGAGAAGAATCCAGAAGCCTGGGACACCCCTCGAGTGAGGACACCCCCAAGGCTTCCAATCCAAGGATGACCAAACCTACCACACACCACATCTCCTCTGCCCTGGAGGGACCAAAACCTAGCAAACCCTTTAACCGGGTATCAGAGTTTCCAAAGAAGTTCTATTCAGTCATAATCTGCACCTCTCACACCTAGAAATATTTTAAGTCAGATGAGTACTGATTCAAACTAGCAAGAACAGGATCACGGATCTGGGTGGAGGGTCACCAAGTCCTTCCTGCCCTTTATCAGATGAACAGAGTCGAGGCGGGCTGGTCGCGTGCGAGGGGCAAGGAGCCCAGCTGCCCTGGACCACATGCACCACTCATACCGTGGGAGCTATGCAACCTGGGCCCCCCCCCCCCACCCTGATTCTCTGGGCAGGAGGCTGTCACACAGAGGGTGTTGCTGGCCCCTCGCCCTCTCTTTGTGTTTTAGCGGAGCTTCTCCAAACCAGGGAAACATCAACACCAGGGGCTCCTCGCAGCCCAGGTTACCTTTGGGCATGATCTGATGCATGGCGACCGAGAGGAAGAAGATGGAGTCGCTGTAGTAGGTCCCGGAGCCAGCGCTGAAGTGCTTCTGCATGGCCTCCACGATGGGGAAGAGCTTGTCCGTCAGCACGGCCACGTCGTGGAAGACGACCTGCAATGGGGAGGAAAGCGCGGAGTGAGCACACCGGCTCCAGGCGCCCAGCTCACACGTGGTCCCACCGCGGGGACAGACAGTGCCTCTCCCCGGGCACCGGCTGGGGTCCTGAGTGAAAGATAAGGGACTGCCGATAGGAAATGAGCAGGAGCTGGCCTCAGGGACGGGGACATCATGCGAGAAGGGTGGGCAGGCACACACGTGGGGGAGGGGAGGTGGAAGAGGAGTGGAACGGGGCCAGGAATGGGAGCAGCCCTCAGGCTGCTTCCGGTTTCTGAACTTCAAGGTGGGCCCAATGACTGGAAACCTGAAGGTAGCACTGTGCCCAGTGACTGGAAACCATGTGGAACTGTCTTGTCCTGAAATTAGGACCCTCAGCACATTGGAGCAGCTGGCCCTGGTGGCCACTACACATACACAGGCCAGTCAGGTGCTCCACTTCCCTGTCCCACAGGGTGAACAGAGGCAGGGGCCCTGGGACATGCCTAAAGCCACAGGAAATGCACCCACTGGCCCAATCAGCACTCCGTGCATGTCCTGACGTTGGGAGGCGCTGTGAGAGGTATAAGGACTAACCCCAGAACACTCAGGGCCCACCGGAATCCTGCAGTTTATGCTCACGTACACATACCGATCCCATGACCACCTGGGGCCTCAGTGAGGCGACATCCCTGTTACAGATCCCAACTGCAAATGAGCGAGCAGATGCTCACAGAGGTTACACTTGCCGAGGGTCACCTCACTCACAAGTAGCAGAGCCAGAACCTGCACACCCGTCCCATTTCCAAACCCCAGCTCTTCCCACCATTAATGCTCCTTCTTTCCTCAACAGCAACCCAGTGGGGAGGAAGACATCAGCAGAACCAGTGAGTAGAGTGAACAACATGCCATAAGACCCTACTGAGCTGGTTTCCTGATTAGACATTAATCCATATCTAAGTCCATTCCTCACGGAGCCCCAGCCTTATTCAAGATACCAAGGAACCATGCCCTCTGCTCACATATTTCTTGTAAGTTTTCCCTGCGGCCCCATGCTCCCCACAACATCTAGAGCACCCCATGGGGCACAATAAATGCAGCCCAAGTCAGAAGCCCAGAAATTCTCCCTCCCCTTAACCCCCACCAGAGATCTGCTGATGACCCTTCCACCCCCTCTTCCCGGGCAGCCAACAGAGCAGGACAAGCCCGGAGGCTGCCGCATGCAGCTCAGTCACCATCACACCGACGCCAGGGCCAAGGTCATACCTGAGCAGCATGCCAACAGTCACACGGTGAGGGGTCATTCGAATCCCCCGACCGGCGAGCTCCCGTTGTCTGGCCGTGCCAGCAGGAGAAAGCTCGGGTGAGGGTGGTGCCCAGGAAGTTCTCAGACAGGTAGGGTGCATTTTGCCATTCACCCTGCCCAGGTCCCTCCCTGGCCCAGTCCCACGGTGCCACCTGCCCAGCCCGCACTCCCCGGGCCTGCGGTGGCTGAGCCTCTCGGAGGCCTGCCGAGGTGGTAAGCCACCCTGCCTGCTTTTCCCTACGTTAGGTCCTGCTTTTGGCCAGAAACCCGTGTGGATCTGAACTCACTTAAGTGTTTGCTTTTGTCCTTAGGTCTACTTACATTTCTAAAATACTATCAAACTCAGAGAAACGTATATGGCTTTAGTCCTCATCATTCCCTTTAAGTCTTTAGAAAAGTCTTTTTTAAATGCCTTGACATTTCCAATGTACTACTTTCCTTTACCCTTTTCCTGACTGCTTTTTTTCTTACACTTTGACTTTTTCTGTTTTTGTGGCCTCGTAACCTGAGATGGGGATTCAGGCCAGCTCCAGAGTCTCCCAGCAGATACCAAATCATATCTTTCTCCTCCCACCCACCAGGACCTGCCTGCACCCCGTGACTTCCTGACTACACTGGCATCACAAACCTGACAGGTGTCCCCTGCTGTGCCCCCTCCAACCGCTTCTGGTGTGCCTCTCAAGTAATCTATCCATACAAACGCACTTCTCTCTTTCCTTGGCCTCACATCCCCCGATGGCTCCTCGCGGCCCTTGGGTATGGTCCTAATTGCCCAGTACGGCCCATGAGGCCCTTCACTAGCGGCTCTGGCTATCCACCCTTCCCGCCCTCCCTCCTCCAGGGATGGGGCACAACTAAATGCAGCCGTCCTCACCCCGCCCACCACAGCGCAGTGTCCTATGTCCTTGCATATTTGTACTAGCTCTTGGAACTCTCCGGAGCCCCCTCTCCCAGCCCTACCCCTTCCTGCCAGCCCCCATCTGCCTGAAAAATTCCTATCCAGTCTTCCAACCTTGCTGGGACACCTACTTCAGCCTTTGCACAAACTCCCACGACTCATCACGCCCTCCTGTGCACCCTGTACCCACAGGGGGAGGCTCCGCCTCCCTGTCGGGCTCCTCTGCAGGTCTGCTTCTCTGTCCACGTACGGGGACCCCGTGAGGCCAGAAGCTGTGACTGCTTTGTGCCTTGTGCCCGGCCCGTGGCCCCATGGCAGGCCACGAATCAGCACACGTTTGCTGAATTAAATGAACCACATTTTGCGCAACTTACTAAACCTCTCTGAGCCTCAAGTACAGAAATGAGAACACCTACCTCCTATGGTGGCTGTTAGGACCACCTGGGACAGGCAGAGAGCACCGGATCACGCCGCCCTTATTAGTCCCGAGTGTTGGCATCCTGCCCCCACCTCCCTCCACGGTCCCTGGATCCCTCTCCTCGCAGATCAGTCTTCACTCACGAGCCAGCTTTTCCCTGTGAGCCTCATTACACTTCCAAACCACGGCTGGGACCTAGAATTTTACAAGAAACTGGAGCTGACAAGAGGGCTCTCACAGAATTGGAAGCCTCTGCACTCATTAAAAAAGGAGAATGGATGTGTATAAACACACACACACAGCAGGGCCTGCCACAACAAAGACAAGGGAGACAGAGATTTCAGCAGCCATTTTCCCCCCAACAAGCCCCCATCTCGCCCAAAGTTTCACAGGAGACAATTACGTCCCATCAGCATTAATGGATTGATGAGGACAAACTGTACTTAGTACGTTGTTCCAAATGCTGGTACGGTAAAGCCCGCTCCGATGAATATTTCACATAATAAATCTACTTAAAGTAAATTAATATGTTCCACAGAGTACACGTTCTGCAGCAAGAAGCAAAACACAGACACTGCAAGTGTGAATCACAACGCCCAGGCCTCCCCATGTCCAAAAGAGGATGCAAACCGTGATCTCCTGAGGGCCAGGCCGGAGGCTGGCACTCCGAGGCCACCGCCCTGCCCAGGGTTTAGTGCCAGGAAGGCGCAAAGAAGCAAGAGCAACGGGAAGAGGGAGAAACAGAGGGAGAGGGGCAGAGAAAATGCCACCCTCCCTCCGTTCCTCCTCCCTTTCAAGTCCCTCACATCAGAGGCGGCAAAAAGAATTACCATGTAACCTAAAAAAACCAGGAATATAAGATGACTCCCATAATGAAGGCAACTGGCCAATGAGACCCAAAAGAGTGATTTGCACCAGCTAGACTATATGATTTTTTTTTAAAGAATAGTTTATTCAGCCTGGCCCGTGTGACTCAGCGGTTGACCCAGGAATTAAGAGATCACTGATTCAATTCCGGATCAGGGCATAGGCCAGAGTTGAGGGCTCAATCCACAGTAGGGGTGCATGCAGGAGACAGCCATGCTGCTCCTCTCTCAGCCCTGTTTCTAGCTTTCTATCCCTCTCCCTTCCTCTCTTTAAAAATCAATACAAACATACTTTAAAAGAAAAAGATGAGTTTACTTATTTGAGAGAGAGAGAGGAGGGGAGAAGTACCAGGAGAGAGAAACATCAATGAGAGTACATCGATCAGCTGCCTCCTATACCCACTCCTTACAGGGGATCAAGCCACAACCTGGGAATGTGCCCTTGACCAGGAATCAAACTGGCAGCCTCTGGTGCATAGGATGATAACATATATATATATATATATATATATATATATATATATATATATAGATATAGATATAGATATAGATATAGATATAGATATAGATATAGATATAGATATGTATGTATATGTATATATGTGTGTATATATATATATATATATAATTATGAGGCTCACAGGGAAATGAAAATATTAATCATAAAATATTATTTCTCCAACACCCAGCTAACAAAATTACTTCCTTTTGAACTCTTCATGTGCATCCTCACCCATAAGGCCTTTACCAGCCCCAGAATCCAGCTGAGTCACCCAGGCAGGGTTCCAGGACACATCATCCTGGTCGTCCATCTAAGATGTTAGCTCCAGCTCCGTGTGAAATGAAGTAGGATGCTGTCATTGGACATGGCATCCCATCCCACAAGAACCCATGTTCATATCATTACGACAGTGGGTTTTTCATAAGCCGATAATCATATGTTTGTAGCCACTTACTACCTTCCTATAAGTGACTTTTGGAGGCTCACTTATATCCATATTCCACATTTGTACTTATGAGATCAAACCCCCAGGAATAATGGCCAAGTCTGTTACATGTCTTTGCCTCCTTTTCGTCTTAATGAACACTGCCCTGTGACCTCCAGAAGCCCCCAATTCAGCAATTACGGGTTGTTTCAGGCCGAGGTGTTCTCAACTGTCCTCTGCTGTCCGAAGCAGAGCATGCAGTGGAGAGGGCGGTGTGTGATGTGAGATTTTGAAAAGTCTCGCCTCTTAATAAAGTGCAAGGTGGGGGGGTGGGGAGAAAGGGAAAGGCTTGCCTCACAGCCTCCATGCACAGCACATTCCCAACACGCCCAGCAGGGGGGGCCGAGCAGCCAGAACAGCAAGCCTGGTGCCAGGCACTGGCAGACGTTTCTCCCTGACACAGAAGGTCTGAAGAACCAGCCACTGCACCCCTGAACGTCCACCGGGGACATGAAGCCATGCCAAGCCTGAGCTCAGCATGGTGGAGAAAACCCATTTATCACTGGATGTGCCCCACTGGGAACCAGGTCACGCCAGGCTCCGG